TAATGGTTATTGTTGTAAAGGTACAGCTGAAAAATACAATCGTTTTAAACTTCTTTTGAAATAACTGACACACATGTGTAAATATCGGTATTTCATATAATCAAATACATTTTGTTTGTATACGTAAGAATAACTGTTTCTCTGGAACAGGACCAAGCATAATAGGAGAATTTTCCTTACATTTCCTAACCAAGTTGGGGTTATTAAAAACCAAGGCAGTAACGAAGCATGGTCCAAGGTTAAATGTCCTATCAATTCCTAAAATTGCGCCGTTTTTGGTACAAGCGGTTTTCATATCCGTCAGCTGGTTGTCGGTATAAAGGATAACTGAAGGGGGTTTCCCTTTTGTCACAATTACTTCTCGAATGAAATTGCTGTCATGGATTTCATTGACAACACTTAAAAGTCCGTCCGCCGTATTTTGACTATAACTGTTTGGTTGTTTGTCGTCACGTTTTTTTTCTGCAAAAGATACTTGGCATTGTGAATTTGCCTAAGGTCTCTGGGTTCATTCATAGAATCGTCCAGTGACTTAATGTCGTCTAGAATGACTTTCGGAGCCTGTTTGTTAATTAACCTATCGTGTATCGACTCCTTTGTAGCGAGAGTTGCGCGCTGATACTCTTGTTTTGTATGTTTAGAACGGCCGTGGATAGAGGGTTGTGAAGGAAATATTCCTAAATACTCTGCAATAGCAATGTTCATCGCGTCAAACCCTGGCATTCTGTCGAACCAACTTATACGTTTTTCATAGGACGCGTCGCGTGCAAGGGTCGAGTAATACCGTTTCAGTACAAAAATCTCGTCCAATTGTGGCTGTGGGTTAAGTGGTACGGTTTTTTGTTTCACCATCTTACAAAACATATCTCACTCTACATAGTGATGTATTCAAGAAGTTTATGACCACCGATGTCTCCAGAGTTTTCCTGCAGGTTGCAGGAAATGACATCAATGCAATACAGGCAGCACCCCAAGGTCCACTTCTGGTCCTTGCGGGGGCCGAGGCGCCTCAAAAGGTCAGACTTTGTTCTTGGCGGTTCTCTAGACAGGTTCGACTAGCGTTGTTCTGTCAAAGACTGCGCTAGTCGCCTGCTTAAACGGCCCTTTTCAGGGCCACCATCTTTCTCAAAAAGTCCTGAGAAACTCGAAAATTACGCATTCCCATCCCCCTCCCACTATATTAGTTCAGGGGCGTATAGTGAAGGGGATTAGCAACTCCCTCTCTGCCTTACCAATTTTATGACACGTCAATCTAGACTTACCTCCCCCTGATTCCGGACCAGATAGTGAGCGCCACCTATCTCAATTTTGACAAAGCAAGATGGGGTCGATACCACTTCGTTAGATGCAGAAGATGGTGTGAAAACAAACCAATCTCGATAAGTGTTCTTACGCCATTTGTTTATCCCATTGTAATAAGCTGATTGTATAACTTTTAATTGATAAAATCTGTGGTATCATAGTAATTGATGTCTCGTTTTTGGGTTATATTTTTCTATTTTAAACGCGATGTAACGCGTGGTTCAGGGTATTGTGGTGGGCTTCGATAGACAAAAATGCGGGATAAAAAAAACCTACCTCACTCCAAAAGTATTTGACTGATCTTTTTTAAATTAGCAGCAACAGAAAGCTTAATAAATTTTATAACGACCCAAGCCATTTTAATTGCAAATAACATAATTTAACTTGTGTTATTTTTGTGTCAAAAAGACTAAATATCTGCATTATTTTTCACTGGAACATAAATCATTATTTCGAAAGTAGTTGGTGACTGCTCACTGTTTTGATTAAATTTTATAAACTATCGATTATATTTTTTAAAACAATTAATATCAATAAACATCTGAGTAATTTCTATGTTAAGTAGGCCTGATTTGATTTGCATTATTTGGAACGATAGCGATGTCACAGATGAAATTACTCGTCTGATAACGAAGGACACGTGTTGTTAAAAACCGTAAACAACCGGAAATGTTAAACGCAACAAAAAAGTCATAACTCGATCATTTTTTCTAATATCGAGCTGAAATTTGGAATATATATCAATAAAAGCCTAACTAATAACATATCTTCTGATGTCGCTTACTTTAGCGGGTAATTGTAACGATATTATCTGGCGACGCTTTCTTCACTTTACATGCTAACATGTGCCACGCCGCGATCGTAAAAATTCAATTCATCATAACTCGGTCATTTTATCAAATATCAAATTGAAATTTGGTACAGAGGTGTATTATAGTCATATTAACAACATATCTTCTGATGTCGCTTACTTTATTCAGTATTTTTAAAGATTTTGTCTGGCGACGCTTGTTGTCACTTGAAGACGCTTGTTGTCGGTTGAAGACTGAGACCGGCGGTTGTTATACAAATTCAGCCAATCAGAGCGCGAGTTCGATTGTCGGCCATTACCTCCGACAACTTTGTCGGACATTGACACGAGGGTAAATACGAACAGCAGTGAAATAATGGTGAAGAAGTGCTCCTGGGGAACCAGCAACAGCGACAGCCGATATGCAGAAAGATTGGAGAACGGTGTGACATTAATTTCCTTTCCAAAACCTTAAAACCAACCTAGAAACATGCCTGAGATGGGTGAAGGCTTGTGGACGACCCCATTCGCAGCTTAACGCAACAAATATAGATAGACACAAGTTCGTTTGTTCAAAGGTATGTTTATATCCCGATATTAGAAAATATAATGTAGTAAAGCAGAGTATATGGTTGACCAAACAGGCAATACTCACATAATCCTCAATTTCATTCATATGTTTTTAATATCTCAGCAAAACTTGTTGACACTGAGTAAACATAAGTAGCTATGCCCAAGCTAAGGGGAGATAACTCCAATTGAATTTTCGCGCCGCGCCAAAATTTCGTCACACTTTTATACCATCGGAAGAACGGTGATTTTATCGTGCTTTTCCATGTTATAGAAATGGATACATGGTAGGAATTTTATCTTCGATATCCCTCGTCACTTTACTACAGTCTATATTACAAATATCATGGCGGAAACACAAGGAGCGGAGATTGTGAAATATTGCAGAAGCGACAATTTCCTTATAAAACCGAGTACATCCATCAAAATTATATACAAATGTTCAGTAATTATCCCTTAAAATAAGTATATATATATGCCAATATGTCAAAACCGTTCTTGGTATGAAAAATGCTGTTGAAATCCCAAGGGGTAGTATAACGGTAAATCCAATATGGCGGACACCTCGCCTCGAAAACGTAAACAAATCCCACCTGTACCAGACAAAACTCGCTAGAAGGATATTGCATTAACGGTTGTTTACCTATCGTGTAAAGGTATCTGTTCTCTTTGTTTTCTGTATATATTTTAAACATTAAATGATGTATATTTG